TTTTTTTTTGCGCTGTTTCTTTGGACTTTTTCTATTTTGTTCTTCACCAATATCATTTCGTACAAAAAGTCATTTTTCTCCAACAGCACATACAATTACGAGCTGCTTGTAATTCTTGATGCAATTTTTGCGTTTGAGGAAAACGTTGCACTGTATCGGTGGTGTACTGGTAAAGCCCTTAAATTGTAGAGCTATTTTTTCTTTAGTACCATCGTCTGCCAGCGATACCAATAATCAGTTGAACGATAGTAATTCTCTTGGGAAAATTAAAAACTGAAAAAAATTTCTATTTTTACCTATCTTTTCTTATCAACCACCCTCAATTTATTCTTGTTTCGCTTTTTTTTCAATCATTTTTTAAAATTCTTTTTATGACAGAGAGGTAACAGGTATTATTTTACTCTAGTGGACGCAGAATTATTTTTGGAATTAAAATATAAATTTATCAATAAAAAAAAATCGATATCTGTTAATTTTTTTTTCAACAAAAGCTAAATTTATTGTTGTCTTATACCAAAAAAAATCTACAAGATACTATTTAAAGAACGAGTAATTTTATAAATTTTCTAGTGGTACTAATTGTTCTACGTACTTCTTTTCAGTTGCCTTCGAAAATTTATTTATCTTATCATACTTATTTACGGAATGGTACTGCTTTTAACAACGCATTCCAAAAACTTCAAAAAGGTTTGTTGAAGATTGACTTTTGAACAAAAAAACACTACAGCAAGTTTTCCCGATCATTATTTTACTAAAGGAACCTTTCGAGTTACTATACTGCTGCAGTTGCCTTATTACAGATTGATTCATTTAAATGCATAATTTTTATCGTCTATTGTCTATATGTTGTTTTCCAAGCTGTTCTTGTATACTCAAATTACTGTTTTAAATCTAGCTTATTTAATCAAGGATAAAAAAAAAGAAGTATAAGTTACACACCACAAAAAATTTTTCTTTGCTTATCAAATCACATTGTATTTTTCATGTTTCAAACAGTGAATTTGCACATAAAAATATTCTAGTTTATTTACAAAAAATTGGAAAAAATAATCATTCTGTTTTTTAGGATAAACAAACAAATACGATGTCAGACGAAGTACTGGTAGGCTATGCTCAACGTTCTATTAATGCAATAAAAGAAAGTAAACTAAAATAGATTTTTTTTTTAGATCTGTGTTATCAAATTTACGTTAAGATTACCTTAATTATTTATAAATAATTTATCTAAAACATTTGCTTATTAGTTTTTATGTAGAAACTGAAATTTTCAGCCCAAAATTTTGGTTTGGTCAACCAGATTTCATTGGAACAGAAAATCTATAGCCAATAGTTTTAACCAAAAACAGGCCGTGTGCGCACTGCAGTGTTTTATAACTGAGGATAGGAGGTAAACCTGTGACTGAGATATTACAGTTTGTGCCATTGTTGTTGCTAATAAATAAACGTAAAAAAAATTTTTTTTTTGGTTTTAAATTCTCGACTCTGGCTTTATATCGTTCGAAAATTTTATGTTCGTCAACGATGCTGATGCTGTGCTGTTTTACTCGAGATCCTGGATATATTTTAAAATTGGCGAAATAAGTATAAAAGATGTGCCAAAAACAAGAAACCGGGATCAGCAGTATGTTTTTGTGACCAACGAACCGCCTAATTTAACACTTTTAGATCTTAAACTTGTTCCTTTTGGATTCTTCAATCTTACAATGACTTATAGGTGAGTCAAGTCACTAAGTAGGCTTAGGTTTTTACAGCAGTTTTTTACAGCAGTCTTTGTGAGCAACTAAAATTTGTTTTTAAAATGTTTATTTGCTGCTGGTCAACGCTATAGAATGTTTTAGTACAACTAGCTAAAGTTCCAGTAAACAGAAGCTTTTTAAGCAGGAAAAAGAAGATTATGTCTTATCAGAAAAAATTTATATATATTTTTAGGCTTGACAGTGATATTCCTTACGTGTATGACAGATTTGAAAAAATCACTTTTGACACTCCTAGTAGTCAAAGATACGACTGGAGTGAAGTAAGATGATTTTTTTCAGTATTATCTGATGTTTCGGCCTATTAATAACTTTGTTGTTAGAGTTATAACAGCATAGAATGTCAAGAGTAATGACTAACAAAAAGCCCAACGTTTATACGTGCATGCTTTTTTAAGTTATGGAAAGTTTGTATAAACTGATAATACATAAGATAAGTTGACATAAACTGGACAAGATCGATAATTTTAAGGTAGAAGAAGCTGTATCGCAAAAAACAAAATCAATTCTTCAACTTACAACTAACTGCAGAACGTTGTCAAGGCGCGAAGCGTATGTAGAAAAGTTGAAACAATTTATCAGTGTCACACAAAAAGGAAGATGTTTTCAACACTTATGCAGTGTATGGGAGGAAGAACAAGAAATTGGTAAGTAACGGCTAAGCGTAAATGTGCTGCACAATGAATGAAACTTGACTGGTTTTTTAATTTTTCTGACCGTTCAAAATTAACTTTAAATCTTAATTCTATATATTGTTGCAGCAAAACTTTTTTTTTATTCTTCTGAGATGCAGATGAACGATTGTTGTTTGCATAGTTTCTAAAGTTCAAAAAAA